CGGCATCTACTCAATCTTATCTCCTGATTGTGTAAATCTTGGTGTGTGCGCGTGTCAAGGAAGCCCGATCGTGCTGTGGCGGCGTAGACGGATTCGCCGGCCCTATCAGCCAGTGCGCCTGATCCCACCTCTGGTCTTCTTGATTTTCTCTTGACACCGGGCACTGATGGGTGATGAACTAGAGAGTGCGGTAGATGCTGAGCCAGTTTACTATGACTTGAAACTAATCCATAGGCAAGTCATCGCGTTTGCCTCCAGCTTACTGAAGCACCTTGCGAACATCATCGAACGGTTGAAATGTCACGTTAGGTCCAGCAATAGATGGTGCAAACCCCACTCTCTCGATTCACGTTTGACAGCTTGAGTACATGGGCAAGGAGTCGCATATTCATAAGCCGGTGTTCGAAAACGTATCTCAACGCAATCTGACGTGTTCCAGTAATGGTCAAGATGGTCACATGCACACTATCACATCTCTTGCGGAAAAATCAAATTGCATGGCCGTTATGAGGAGGTCAACCAATAAATTTCGATAGAACCAGACATCATTTTAGCAGCTCATTTTTAGCCTGCTTTCTACCAAACGGCTATAACCTTTCCTCAGTAAATATTTTTCTTGTTTCATGTTTCCATGTTTTTTACCGTAGTAGGTGACTTTGGGAACTTTTACAGACAGTAAGACACCAAAATTAATTTAATATTTAAAAAATACACTCTCAGTACATAAAAAGTAATTTATGTATCTACGGGTGAGGAATAATTTTCCTTATCTTATAGATAAGGTCACCAGGTTCCTTTTAATACATACTTGGTATTTACAATAGTCATTGATGTAAAGGTATAGAGTATCACGAAATTGGTGGTAATTTAGGCATATTAATGTTAAGTAAATGAGAGGAGAATTAGATGACGATCCACAGCAAATAAGTGACTAGGCCTTGCTGGATAGCTCGGACATAGCTTTGTCGTACGCGTCTTCACTTTCTTCTTCGTCATCATCCTCTCCGGCGACAGATTTGAGAGTTACCCAGTGCGTGAATACAATGAGATAGAATGTCGAGATGGTTGACATGCCTGTCCGGACTCGATCACTGAAACGAATGGAAAACAGGTTTCTCTGTTTAAAAATGGTCTGAGTGTCTCATGATGCCTTGTCAGCTAACTTACGCTGGTTAGTTGTTTTTTACAAATTTTGAATTTTTACTTTGATTTTCTGTACCACTTATGTAATTTTTACGCAGAAATATGTTCGGTGCGCAAAGGATACAATCTGAACTTCCTTCACCTGTCGAGGCTCAGCTTAATTTACAATTCCACCAGACGCACACTTAAGATGTGACTTGGAGTTCCAGGGTCCAAGTCGCATACAGGCAGTCACACGGTGGCTGTTTCTGGCTTATTTGTTGGCAAGGGTAATTTCTATCCTGGTAAGGATGAGTTATATAACTCGCTAACTTACACCCGGGAATAGAAACGTTCCAACAAAGGAACAAATGTGTCGCTGGGCCTAATGTTTGGAAGAACTACCATTCTTTTATCCTATACTTAGCACTAGCCTTAATATAAACCTAATCTGAACCATAATCCTACCGAAAACCATAACCCTATGGCTAAACCTTACCTTTACGTTCGTCTCCTTAAAAATAAATTTTTTTCATTGGTAAAGATTTTTTTATTTAGAGTATTTGGTCACTGACCGCAATTTGTTGCCGTTATTTGGGCCGAGCTCAATCAGTCGCTGTGGGGTGACCACGTAATATATACACATGTTTCCAATGGGTATGTGCCTTTGCTATTATTATGATAAATTATGACATCATCTTAACCATAAAATTAACCTAGACGGAATTAAAGTAACTTTTGACCTTAACTTTAAGTGTACCCCTAAACATAACTCTTCCTCTAACCATAAGTCTAACCCCATTTACCCTGGAGCTTTTGAACGGACTTCTGTACCGCGGGTAGTTCCTGCTCTCATCATTGGTTAAGGTAGCCATATAAGTCACCCTTGCAGTCATCTAAATCCCTGACTGATCGCACATAATTCGAATAGGAGACATCTGGTCATCTAGCGACGCCGCCTCACCTGTTTTACGCTCACGTTCTGTCAACTGAGACAAGCAATATCGGTTAAGGGTGATACGTACAGATAAGACTTAATTACATAAAGATCGCCCCGTTTCGATCCAATGAAAATTAAATTGATCGCCGTCGCCTCACAATCGAAATACGTATGGGAATCCTGCTTGAGTGGTCCATCATTTACCCCAGTCTTTTACAAATTTCAATAAGCTCACACCCGATATCTGGCACTGGGACTTAGTCTGGATAAAGTAATCAGCCACTTGGGGAACCCTCAGTTGAACACTGGTTCGAGCGTCGGGGACGTGGAACCAGGTGATCGAACTCCTACGCGGGGCATGCAACTTCAATAAATAACGCGCTGAATGTCGGCCATCAAGCAACTATCACGACAGAGGGAATCCACTCTCGATTAAAGGGAAGTCGCTAGTTGCCACCGGTTTGCAGTAGTACAGGGACTGCATCCTATAAATACTGCAACTCCTTGGGCCTGAATTACCGTAATTTGATGCTGTATTTGAGGCTGTGTGCGACCATGAATCCGAAACGTCATGCGAATAAATTTAATGTTTCGGAAACCGCGTCTACTGCTTTCTATCTGCGCACTGTTCCCGTGCGGCCTTACACTCTCCTCGTTATGGCTGATAGCAAAAATTAATAGCTATGGCCGTATATTCTAAGTAACCATTGGATCGGGGTACAATCATCGATTACTAGCGACTAATATGTTGGAAACGGCCATTTTCGTTTAAAAAGATTTTTCAGTAAATTTTCGCATCAAACGCCCGTTAACATTTAAATAATGTAGTGTGCGTTTCGACAGGTTTTCAGGTGTTTAATCTAAACTACGTTTTTAACAAGACCAATATTCGTCACAAAATCTGTAAGCAGCCCATTCACATATTTCACTTCATTTCGTGCAGCAAAATGACAGATGATAACACGAGTATAGTTTTTTTATATTTAGCATTCACGCCTTCTCTTTAGGCATACAGACATGATATCTGGAGAGTTATTGTTTTGAAATTAAGGCCTGGCCATTTGGGGACAATGAAAAGGCGTGGAGCGTCCTGGACGAGAAGTGTACCAGTCATAAAATCATGACAGTTTTCGATTACTTGTTAGTGCACTTAATATTTATTAGACGTAGCTAGAAGTCCCTCCTCCTTTATGAAGACAACTAATGTATAAGTGATCAATATAAATCACAAAAATAATTATACAGGATTTTTGTAGCGAAGTTTGGGATCCTTCTTGATCGTAGCTGAATGGTTAACGGGAATTAAAAATGTCATCGGAAGAACTTACAGGAGCCATTCTGTAGCATAAAGGAGAGATACGTTCTCAACCGGAACTCCTACGGATGTCAGAATCGTAAGCATGATAACAATGCTGGAGCTGGGTATGTGGGGAATGGCAATGGCCAGAGCAGACGTAAGGAGCCTGAAATTTAAACATATTAGTTATTTCATCTTTTGTAACATGCGAGTAGAACTTACAGGGATAACCTGAAGGTATAAAAAGCTACGGATGCTTCCAATACCGTAGATTTGATATCTCACATTATGTTATTCAGCATTGTAAAATATGCATTTCATTCGAAAAATAATGAAGAAATGTTTCAATTTTGCGAAAATTCCCATTGAAAATTTCAGAAGATAAGTTGGCGAACATA